ATGTTAAGCAAGTTAGCAATTATCACAACATTTCAAGTTCCCAAAATGAGAGTAAAACACATTGTAATAATTAAGCAACGGTAAATCAACATGTGACTCTTGGTTAGTATTTAGGGGTGTTACATGAACATTGGCAAATAGATTGGGGTGGAGGGGGGGGGGGGGAATTTGACCATTTTCTCAATAATATTTAATGATAAGGGTAAAGCATGGGGAAAATATATCTTTTTTTTATGTAAAAATATAACAAATAAAAATGAAAATTTATTTTAAGAATAACTGTCAAGTAAAAATGAATGGAAGGAGTGATATTTTAGTAAAAGTAGGTAACTGGCAATCCAAGCACAAAATTGAAATTAGCTTTTTAAAAACAAAAAAAGAAAAAAAGAAATAATGATTAATATAAATATTTTATTATAATAGCATATTAATTCATGTAAAGTCTTACATCTTGAAACATGATTTAAGATTTAAAATATTTAAGGACATAATTTAAATTATGTTTGTCATTCTTATTCTTTGTGAAATCATAAATACAATTTTATAAGTAGTGCAATTTGTCTCTTAAAAAACATCAAACTTCATTAAAGAAAAAGAACAAATATGAAAAAGAAAAATTCAAACGTCCATCTTGAATTTTAAATAATTTAATTATTTTAAAAAAGGAAAAAAGAAATCGTAAAAATTCAATCAATATGGAATAAAGAAAGTATTAATATGGTAAAAATAACAAAAAAAATACATATATTTATTTATTACTCTCTCCGTCCTATTTTATATGTCACATTTTTACTTTGCACTTGCATTAAGAAATGATGTAACTTTATCCTTCTACCCTTATTTAGGTTTTCTTAAGTCAACTTTATAATAAATGATGAATACATTTTCAATATTAATTAACTATTCTATCAAAAATATAATAGATAAAATATGATAATTAATATATAAATTTTATACTATGATAAGTATTGTGATCCAGCTATTATTAAAAAAGAATGACATATGTAAAAGTTAAACGAAGGAAATGAGTATACGATAATTGTGTTTGTGTCACATTTATTAAGAATTACTGACAGCTCAAAA